GGGGTCTTATAATAAGGACCGGAGGAGTATAAGTTTTTGTTTTTGCCAACAAATGAATAGAAGCTGACTCATTAAAGATGTAAAAAATTTGCAACACTCTCCAAAACCTCAGCAAAATTCAAATGAATTAATTACTATAATATCTAATTTAATTTAATTGTACATAAGGCGAAAATAAAAGGTAAATGTTTTTATATTTGTTAAACTGGATTTGTATGTTAGATTAAAAAAAACTTCAGGCAAAAGAACTTATATTGGGACCAAAACGGGGGTTTAGCAACTATCCTCTTAATTTTTCTCATAATACCCAATTTTGAAATTCACGGATATAAAAAGTAGTTAAATACAGCGATTTTTTTTTTTTTACTGAATTAAATACAGCGATTTGCACAGTCTCGAATACTCTTTATTATGGTTTGATAATTTTTCAGGACATATTTGAAAACATATTCTAATTTTTTCTAAGAGTTTATCGAGTATCTTATGAAAACAAAAATTATACTCATCAAAACTAAGTCTTGTTAAAAGAAACAAAGAGTTTGATTGTCAAAAAAAAAACACACAAAGAGAATATAAAATTTGAAAGAGAAATATCTAATTTAATAAATTTATTTTAATTTTACTATTAAAAATTTAAAATATTATGGGTGACCATGATATTTCTAGAAACTAGAAACATTATACCCCTCTGGTTCCCTAATTAGTTGGCAGAAAAAACGGAGCTAATTAAATTTAATGCTTGACACATGGCAGCAGGAGCACATCTGGCATTTTGTGGTTCGGACTAAACAACGTTGAAGGACGGGAACAACAATAGATTTCGTGGAGGACAGGTTCTTGTTTTATGTGTGTTTACTCCTTGAAAGTTGGCATTTGAACTGAATTTTTTGGTTATTTTAAGATTATCATTCCTTGGTTTTTTATAATAAGAATCAAAATTATTCTCTTTGAAATAATTTCATAAAATTAAATTGCTTCTCTTTGAATTAATTCATAAAATTAAATTGCTTTTTTTTTTTCCATGTTCGCATTCGCTTTGAGTGCGGGAAATAAACATATGGAATAATTTTTTTTTTGGGGTCCATGAAGGGGTTTAAATTAAAATTTGTATCTTTACGCCTTCCACATTCATAATATTAATTGTGAATATGGATTAATATTTCTTCTTTTAAAGTAAATAAATATTAAATTATTTCACAGACTAGAATTAACTGGAATATGAATTATGCTTTTCAATGTACAAGCTACAACGTATAGATTGTGCCTTAGTTGTATATTTTGTGGAGAATATGATGGAAATTAATAGATTGTTGCGTGGCAATTGCGAGAGATGTTCTGTTTTAATTTGCCAGAAATATTTTACGCAAGTGGAGTCAAAGAAGAGAAGCTTTGGTTAAAAAGAAAAAAGAAAAAATAACAGATATACTACCTCTGATACTAAATATAAAAGCTAGTTGATTAATTTGAGTGAATTTAAAAAAAGTTAAGTCAGTTATTTGTAATTATATATATTGTCTTTCTTAAAATATATCTTACTAATTAAGTGTATTAGTTAGGACTACTATTATTAAAAACGCCACTTTAAAAAAAAGATAAATATAAGAGACAAAATAAATAAAATTTTTATTTATAATTAAAATAAAATTAGACAAGATTTTTATATTAAACTAGGATCTTCTTCCCCGTACGATGTATAGGTCAGTACATTTGATTAAAATTATAGTTGTAATAGATTATTTATGTAATTAGATTCACCTAGATTAGAATAGATTATAATCATAATAATCATAATAAATTATATGAAAACGTGTATAAAGAGTTAAAAAAAACTGCAAAATTATATCACACTACACTGATATACCTGAAAAGGCAAAGAATATTAAACCCTCTTCCATGCACATGAAGAAAGCAAGCATTTGATAAGCAGAAAATAAAAAAGGCAAAAAAGAAAGAAAAACTGCAAGTAGCGATTATGCGTTTATCTTTCTTCAAAGAATGTGTAATAACTCTGGTTTCATTGCCAACTACTTCAAAATTTTCACTTGCCCATCTTAAGGATCCTTCTTGTAGTACTCTAATAATCCCCCTAGGATAATGTAACCTTCTATCTAAGCACCCTGTACAAAGTTCATGGGTTCAATTACTGAGTAGACCTTGAATAAATAAGTAATGTTGAGCACTTACTCACCTACTTTTGTCTTGTTCAGAATCATTCTAATCTTGCAAGGAGTGTATAGCGAAATCTTGACAATCTATTTCCTTAGAAACACATGCCACAATAAGCCGTTAGGCATATTTTGTAGATTATTTTATTAATTGGGCACAAAGTGAAGAAACAAAATAAAAGATCTCTTTTGAAAGCATTCGAAAATGACCAGCTCACTGAGATTGCCAAACCAGCCTGATACTGGGGAACGGACAGATTTGATGACCAACAATAAAAAAGTAATGTGCTTGTCTCTCTTCCCATATTACTGCTCATTAAATGTCAATTAACAAGGGGATATTTGGAACAGTAATGAGACTATTTAAGCTCTAGTTGGAAATCCAACCTGCATCCAATCTAATCGGGTATTAAATCATTTCCAATTCAATCGGGCATTATAAGATTTTATAGATAAAGTAGATAGATACAGGAAGTAATATATATTCTGAATTAGTCAGAGCCCAAAGGCTAGCTCTCATAATTACACAAGGTGTTTGGATTTTAGAATATAGTGAAATCACACTACTATCTCTCATTTACAAAAGGAAGCGAACTTGGGAATACCGAATTTGACTCGGTGTGAGGACTGAGGAGCTAATGCCAGCACGGGATGAAAGGCATCACGTGGCTTCATAGAAAACGTCTATTAAAAAGTCAACGGTGGTCAGGTGGTTAGCGTATTAAATGAAATGAAACGAAAGGATGCCATCAAACAGATCAGACTAATAGACTAGGCATCATGTCTTCTCACTGTTCTCCGACGAACCTTCTTCAGGCCATTTCACGGTCGCAGCAAGCGGGGGCTCTGTGTTGAGGTTGTTGACATCGGTGGAGGGCGGAGGTGAAAAATTGAAGAGAAAATATGGCAGATTCTCTTACACATGAAATAAGAATCCCGGGAGGAAAGAGAAACAAAGTTTAATGCTTCATTTCAACCCCTGACATCATGAGTGCCGTCATCCTCTGTCGCTATCGTAGATTGGCTTCACAATGAGACAAGAGGAGGGTAGAGTCGTAGAGGAGATGAAAAAGAAAAGGGGGTCCATAAAGGGGACAAGCTAAGGTGTCTCAACTTCTAAACTGATCCCCCGCCAATCGTTTCGTTAAATGTCTGGCCCAGATTTGTCCCAAAAAAAAAAGTCGAGGGAGAATTACAATGAGTTCTGAGATTGTCATTTTCATTATATTAGACTTATTATTATAACGTATTGAAATTTTTTAGTAATTATTTTTTTTTTAAGATTTTGATTGTAATTCTTCTAAAAGTTAATGTCTAAGCAAGCGATCCATTGACTTGATGGGCAGCCGTGATGGAACCACGTAGCGCCTGGCATTCAGTGCGAGGATTAGCGGTTCGCACTGAATCCGAATCCGCACATGCGTGAGCATGAGCAGGAGCCTTCTAGAATCTGGTGAGTGTTGACGATCCGCGCATCAATTTCCGCCACAAAATTAATGCTCACAATTTCCGATTCAAATAAGGGAAAATTGCAATTAAAAGTTCTGGAATTTGAAAAATACAGATAGGGATTATTAACAATTTATTATGATTCTTGACAATAATAATAGGTCATGAAGTTGTCAAAACTCATAATAAAATTGTCACGGTCTCTATCTATATTTTTTAATTTCTAAAATCTTTTTTTTGCGATTTTCCCTTCAAATAAAAGGGGCCTGCCTCCCCCTGTCCTCATATTTTATATTTCACACACGCACATATACAAGTTGATATATGGAAATAAAAATTAATACATCAGATCCATCATATTTATTGGCCAAAAAAAATCCATCATATTTGGGTACATTTTGTTCTTTTAATCAAAATCGGGAACTTTTTTTCATTATAGATTTGTTATTTTATACGAATAATTATTTAGTGATGTTGTTGATTTTATGATCTAACTATTAAAATATATACTTTATTTTTAAATTATCAATTTTCAGGATATAAATTATTTTTCAAATTTATAAATGTTTAAAAAACATCTTACAAAACTGAAAAATATTCTAAAATCAGTCACGTTCTTACTTTTCAAAACTTGTAACAACAACAACTTCAAGAAAAATTTATAATAATTTTTTTAAAATATGATAATAATTTCTATATTTGAAACTAAAATTTTTTAAGTAAATTTTTTACGATAATAATTTTTCAAATATGTTTTGGGAAGGCTATTGGTCACCATGATTCGTTCTCAAGTGAAACCCAATTTGTAGCCAGGGCACGGGAGGGAGTTTCCTTCGGGGCGAAAAGTAAGGGTTAAAAATATTTAAAAATAGATGCTTCGGCTCGCTACGCTTTTCTTTGCACAAGTGTTTAGACTTCAGAGAGCCTCCGTCTACGTGCTCTCAAAGCCTCATCTGCTTGCCCGGCCTGGTCAAAGAAATAAAGAAACGGAACAACGCATTATTTTCTTGCTTTCGATTCGGAACAGAAAGTTAAAGGGAAGAAAAAGCACTCAATTAGCTATTTGCCTCGTTCTCATCCTTATTTCCATCTTTACTCGGGGCCGCTTGCCCTTTTTATCTCTTTTTCCGGCGCCTATCTGGGATTCGTTTTTATGGATTCCCCCTTTTCTCTTTTGGGTAATCCTTCTTTTCTTTGATCCAACTCCCTTCTGCTTTTGCTCACTATTCTTGTTTTCTGTTTCCCGGCTCTTCAAGGTTTCTTGATATACGATGGACTGAATTTTATTTGCAGCATCCATTCGTGTATTTAGTATTTCACGTTGAGTCTTCATTCCATGTTCAATTTCTGAGGCAAGTTTCGGTGAGAGAGGGGGGTAAATTTCTGAACCATGTATTTTAATTAACAACCCTTATAAGTCTCCAATCGAAGCCAGGATTCAGGTGGATCGACCCAACTGATCGGCTGCATGTCATTGATTTTGGGTTGTTAGGTTCTCTGTCCGAATATTAAAGTCCTCCTCAACAAAAGCTTGATTCCACTACTGCCAATCTTGCACAGTTATGTTTGGTAAAAGTTTACCCATCTTTCTGTTTACTTGATGCGACACTTTTGTTGGTACCACAGGTTAAACTGACGCAGGCATGGCTCTTGACGGAAGAGTTAACCCAGATTGTTCATATGCGGCAAATCCATACCATGAATGCACTGAAACTTGCTTGAGAAAGATCAGGGAGGCCCCGCCACAGAACAATAAAAAGAGTTCAGGTCAGCTCAATTCTGGCGTCTCTGCTTGATAGCATTTTATTTATATGAAGTGAAACATCACCTTTTGCGTTGCCGGCGACCGTCCTGAAACTTTTAATTGTATTTTGGTTGGAATAATATAAAATAAATATGAATTCAACAAGAGCGGCTCGTGGCCATTTTCTTTTCGTGAAAAACTCTGACGATTGTGATAAAGACGATTTGCTATGCTTTCTTTCTCGTTTGTTAACATATTTGGGATTATATAATACTTAAAGATGATAAGCTTACAATTTTATAACGGATGATAAGCTTGGAAAAAATATAAATGACGAAAAACGAACCTGCTCAGGTTGCCAATGTGGTAAATTGCTACAAGTGAATGCCAGAAAATGAATCAGGTTTTACCCAATTTTTGTCTTCTATTTAAGGATATCACCAGTGGCTTACAATTTTCACCTTTGTAATTAGATTAGATGCACTTAACCCACAACAATACGTCTTCTTGAAGTGAATTTCGTCACCCGGTTATATTTATTATAGCACGACCTATATTTATTTATTGTATCCCATGTATCTATTCTGTCTTTATATTCTTTCTATATACACAATTTCGAAGGAAGCCGTTTAAGCTGTTCACTATACATATTGCCACACATGAGCTCTGTTTGGGCCTCTGTCCTTGATACTTTTCTTGGTTCCATTTCAAATTAAAATTTTCCATCCTCTTCCTTCCTATCTATTTAAACTCCCTTTTGTACAAAAAGAAAAAAAGATCCTGTCCAATCTCAAGTATCATGTCCGATGCAAGGGACAGGATTTTAGTTTCTTTCTCTGTTTTTTTTGGTTGGCAAAACTATGAAAGAAGGGTGACCGGAGAGTTATGTCTTGTTCCACTAATGCATTGAATAAAAAAGCTGTTCTGCTTCCTTTTAAAATGTAAGCCAACCTCCTTGATATAAATGAATTTGTATCACGACAACAACTATGATTGTTTTGAAAGTGGAAAAGGGCCGGCTTGAAGAAGGAAAAAGAACAGTGATACCACTGGATATAATTTATCTGTTTGTGCTCAAATGATAAGAGCATGATTGACATTCTAATTTTGATTTAAATGTTCCCATGATAATAAATGAGGTGTCTTTGACAAAATATCCTACCATCCATCTCATAGGTTTGAAATATCTTGATGAGTTGATTAATTTGTCATCTAAATCAAACTTCTAGCAGGGTTCGTCTAATCTGTTTGACTGGTTTAAATATTTTGCTATATTCAGATCATTCATATCCAAGGGGCTTTCGCATAGAATGATTTGTAGTTATTGACTCCAGTCCATTTTAATTACAGGAGTCATTCCTTTGAAGTTTGGATGGAAAAAGAAGCTAGATTCCAAGCCACAACCTCCTGTTATAGACAGAACTCCAGCTTCGAAAGTCAGGGCAAGTTATCCCTCTGAAAAGAAAAAGGCGGAGACAAAATCCAATGAGCGCATTTCTTCTGAGCCAGTTTCTACAAAAAAACATATCCAAGATGTGATGGTAGTGGCCTTTTCTTTCTCATGCTCTATAAGCACGCCCTTGTGTGTCTTTTATGGCCAATACAGACCCACCCATCTTAGCGTTATATTGAACTTGTGTCCTGCACTTCCGTTTCTTGGCAGCCTATCTATCAAAAAGATCAAGCAAAGGATGGAGTTGAGCAGTTTGGCAATAATCACACCCAAACAAATCAAGAAGATGAAAGAAAAGCTCTGGATAAAGTTGTTCCATGTGCCTATGCTGATGATACAGGCGAACGTCTTTCTGCTTCAGCTGGTAGGTTATTGGATTTTAGTTTCTCAGGTGTTAGTCTGACTAACGGTGATGAAGATAGCGAGGGAGAGACGGAGTCTGTTGCTTCTGAACCCCGTCTTCCTGTCGGAGGGTACCGTGTAAGGGAAAGCTATGCTCCTATTTTGCGCTCTATTCTAAACAAGTATGAGGATATAGGAGAGAGCGTTCAATTAGAATCAGCTGTCATGCGCACATATTACATGGAATGTGTATGCTTTGTTGTGCGAGAGTTACAGACCACCTCAATAACGGAGTTCACAAAATCCAAAGTCAAAGAACTGATGGCTATCCTTAAGGATGTCGAATCTGCTCAAATTCAAGTAGCCTGGTTGCGAAGCATACTCAATGAAGTTGCTGAATATATTGAACTGATCAATAGGCATCAAGCCACGGAGATGGCCAAGGCCCACTCTGACAGTGAAATAGAATCATTGAGGGAGGAGCTTGAATCAGAATCGAAAACATTGGCTCAGAAAGAGCAGGAGGTTGCTGCTATCAAAAACCGAATTGCTGAGACCCGAGATCGGTTGAGGGAGCTGGAGTTGAGGTCTTGTGAATTGGACAAGAGCATGTCGATGATCAAGTCCAAGGTTGATAGTCTGGATGGCAGATCCTTGATCGAAGATCTATTGTAGTAGAAATTGCATATGAATCGTGTTTGATTGCGTTGGACTGGTAGATCATTAATGAATCATAGGACGCATGTAAGCGCTATTTTGCAGTTGGTCAAACGCATGATTTACGCGTTTAGGTAATATTGTAAGATTTTCACGTTATATTGGGGGTGATTGCCGTGGGGTCAATCAGTAATCACGTAGATATGGTTTGAATTTGGCGTAGTATTTGTAAAACTAGATTGAATAATATAGGCTACTTAAGTGTTTCTTATGGAGTGCAGACAATAACTTATGCTAGATTGTTTTTGAAACTAGCATTCATACCGGTGTGGTGCACGGGATAAACAAAGGAAAAAATTTAATGACTTGCTGAGAGAGAGAAAACAGGAAAATATGAGGAAGACGCTCATGATCGACACCAGCATGCCAATAATCGGAGAGAGTAAATCTACCAAACAGAATAGCAAAGCGGAGCAATTATCGCTTTCTCCCAATTCCCAAAGAGCATAAGCTCATTAAGATGTTTCGGGCTTTCAGCTGAATGGTTAATTCCTAATGTTCGTTAAATGTATTTTCAATTAGGTTTCGTGTGAACGTCATTTGAGGGTAAACGAGATCGTGATGCCCCACGTCAAACTTCGTTTGATATTGGGCATCATTCTGAAAGAAGCAACGTAATGTTTCTTCTTCTTGTTCAATCCTTTTCTGTTATTTTCGTTTGGTCAGCTTAGCCTGTCAATCCTTATCTGAGGTCCCCGTCAATTGAAAACTAAAACACACACGAACAAGCTCAGTAAACCTTCCAAAGTATTGGATAAAACCCGGAAATATTTTTGTTTTGCAAATGCATCATGTTACTAGACTATATAACTATATTTCGAGTGATCATCATTATCTTTTTTTAAAAGCTCTGCTTTCATATTGTGACCCAAAGAAAAAAAAAAAGGCTCTGCTTTCATAAAAGTAAATGTAAAGGCTCCTTTTCACCATCTCTCAAGATCTACGTACAGCCGGGGCGCTTCTAGATAATTGTAATGATGAAATACCTGCTTGTTCTTCTTCTTGTTTTTTTTTTCCAAATGAAAACATGAAACACATCACAGGAATTTCTAAGTGCGAGGAAAAAAACAGCAAGGAAATGATCACCACAACCTTCACCTCCTGAGATGGATGGAGGCTGATCAAAGGTTAAAAAGATATTTAATCTATGATGAGCAGACTTGGATGAAGCATCTGCACAAGCTAAATTTTCCCTATCGACTAAAATCAAAATAAATATGTCACCCTCTTAATTGTGAGCACAATAAAATCTAGTTTCCAAAATGATATCACTGAGAGAAAGGACGGTCCTCCCTGAAGTTCCCAGTGATCGGGTTGATAGCCCGACAAATGACTTTCGTGTTTGCATCCCATACTTATGATCCCTTTAACTTCCCCAGTAGCAACGAGACATGTATTCGCAAAAGTAACGGAAACAGCTTTGGTGTTGCGGCGGTGACGAGTACTGGAATGTTGATCACCATAACAAAATCTGTGTGATTCAAACAAGACATTTTTTAAAAATAAAATTAAATCTTAACTGTTCATATTAAATTTGAACGATTGACATTTGATGGACATTATGCTACTTATCGCAACCATAAACACCAAAATTGTTCCAGTAATGTATAAATGCACAAACATTGATTATGCAATTTCAAAAGTTACACTGCCCAAAGTTGCCCAGGAACGAGATGCGCAAAATTAACTACATTTTATAAGTTTTAATTAACTACTTTATATAATGCGCAAAATTAACTATATTTTATAAGTTTTAATTAACTATTTTATATAAATAAAGAAAGTTAGTTCAAATTATTTTGTTATAAATTCTCAAAATTATCCTTAATAAAATGATTAATTAGTAAAAAAATAATAATAGGAAGCATGATAAGGGCTGGATGGAGCACTAATATTAGGATTAATACAAATTTTAATCCTTCAAGTTTGTTCTAATTTTGGTTTTTGTTTTTTAAATTTCAAACTATAAGTTTTGGTCCCTTAACTTTTTTTAATTTAAAATATTGGTCTTTATAACCTAATAAAAATTGGATTATTTTGCTCCTGAGAGATTAAAACCAAAATAAAAATAACTTTTAAGGAATGAAAAATTATATTAATTCATAATATTAATAATATGTTCAAACACTACGCCGAAGTCTGTCACGCCTCGTGCAGATGTCAGGCCTGGCTTTGACCGTTATTTAAAAAGCCGACGCAACCCCCTTTCCCTCCACACACCCCAGCTGTAATTCTCTCTTCTCCTGGCTTTGTGATTTTTTTAACTTCAGAACTCACGGATGGTGGAGAACGATAATCATAGTTAAAGGGACTAACAAAACAACGAAAGAAGCTCATTAAGTTATGCCAAGAGAAAAGATACATCTCGATTTCCATGACCATGGACAAATGATCGATTCACTTCCAAAGCTAGCAACACCAAAATGAGTTGTGAAATGAAAAGAAAAGGATGAGAAGAGGATTGTGATTCGTTAACATCATCCCGTACCCACCCACACGTACGGAGCAAACGAATAAATGACAAATTACATCCCATTTTATCAGCGTATTTGATTGTTGGCCTGATAAATTAGCTAGCTAGCTCGGTTGCTTCTGAAGGATCCCAGCGCCTTGATTGCTTCTGCCCTCAGTAGGCATTGGTGGTAAGCCGCCGCCGCCACCAATGCTCCCACAGATGGACCAACCCAGAAGATCCGCTGTAAACCACATAGCACACCTCGTTATCAACTCATCACGCTCATCTAATCAACTGTATACATCATAATTAACATGTTAGTAAAGCAAAATCATACATGGTCGTCCCAGACTTTGTGGTTGTTGTAGATGACAGCAGCACCAAAGCTCCTAGCTGGGTTTATACCGGTTCCGGGGACGGGAATGGTAGCCAAATGTTCCATGAAGAGAGCAAACCCAATTGGCAGCGGGGCCAGAGCCCGTACCAAAGAATACTCATTCAAAGCAATCAAATTTTAAGTAGTGCATGGTTATTATTATGAATTAGGCACAGGAACATGTGAGTCTCGGGCAGTTCTCTTGGGGTCAGTGGCGGAGAAGACGGTGCAGACAAGCAGAAAGGTGCCAATAATCTCAGCACCCAGAGCAGTGCCCTTGTTGTAGCCTTCAGACACAGTTGGCTCCTCCACTGAGCGACTCGTACGAACGCTTCATCAACGCCTTCACTAACCCAACACCGCATATGGCTCCCAAGCACTGCGCTGCCATGTAAGCTACTGCCCGAGTCAGCGACACTTTCCGAGCCAACAACAACCCAAACGTCACCGCGGGGTTGACATGACCACCTATACATGCATATTTACCAAATCAAACGGAAATCCTCGACAAGTCGGTGTAGGAATCGCGATGATGAGGAATTACTATTATTATTCTTATACGGGAGATGCCGGCGGTGCAGTAGACGAGGACGAATATCATGCCGCCCAAGGCCCAAGCGATGCCGAGAATGCCGACGCCATCGCATGGAGATGACTGTTTGTTGTGACCGATGATGGTGGCGACAGTGATGTAGAGGAAGAGGAGGGTGGCAACGAACTCGGCAATGAGAGCTCTGTAAAAAGACCAGAGCTTGAGCTCAGCGGGTAGCAGGAGGAGGGTCTACGTAGTCTTTGCCATGGTGGCGGGTTCGGCCTTCTTGGGCTACTTCCTTGGACATCTCGCGCTATCTCTCCGAACGCTCGCGTGGGTAGGTGAAGATTCGTGTCAAGAGAGCTTTGTTCGAGTCTTTGCAAGGACTCTCGATGAGCCGCAGTCCCGCACAAACACGAAGGCTTATACTATATTCTCTGCAAAAAGACGGCCTTTTTCTTTCAAGTTCATATCAGATGCATTACTTTCACTTTGAATTCTACTTAGCAGCAGACAAAAAGTGAATCAAAATAGTCAAATAAAATTTTCATTGGCGATATTAATATATGAAGTCAAATTTACAGCAAATTAATTATTTTTAACCACAAACAGTGCAATCAACTTTTCACACTAACCAGCGAAAATTGGATTTAACAAAAAAAAAACTAGTCCCCTACATCATGATAAACTAAGGTTTGAATTCCTAATGGGAAAGAGTAAAAGACACCCACATTTAGCACTGCTTTCAATGTGCATAGAAATAAAAACTTTTCACACTACATACATGTATTCCCCTAAGTAGAAATTAGAGAGCTCCGGATATGATTTTCGTGCATTAAGTTTCCACTGCAAGGAAGAGGAGAACACGTGCGGAAATAAAAATGCAATATTTATCATTATTATTTGATAATAATTGAAAAAACTAGTGCTGTATTTTGATTTGATTTTGCATTATCGGTGGAGGTTGCATCTGCGCGTAAATATGCGCAATTATACTTGAAATAGGTCTTTTAAGCAACAAGCAGGCGAGTCCCAAGCGAAGGCAAAACTTGAACTAAGCGGCCGCTGTTTGGTTGATGGAGGAGGGATCAAAAGCCGAAAGCCAAACATAGAAGACAGGTTTGGTGGTCCCGGAAGCTGGAAACTCTGTTGAAGTAGAAGCCCCTACGTCACTGACCTGCATCCACAGTCATGTGGCAGTGGCAGTGATGCGGTTGGATACAAACAGAGTTGATGCTAACATACAACTGAGCAATTAACAATGCTGACGAAAAGGGCAAAAGTGAAAAATGGCATTGAGAGTTGGGGTGGCTGCTTCATGCATAAGCGGCAAAAATACAAAGAGGGCCGGAACGCAAGGTCAGACCCCGTCCATTCCATAACTTCTCCCGCCCTTCTCGCATTGAACTCTTAACACAGCAAAAATTATTTCATACACGTGAAAATGTTTCTTGTGTTCTTGAATTAATAAAATTTAACAATAATATTCCTCTGATCCTAAATATGCTACAAAATAAATTTTATATTTAAGAAAAGGAAGAATATTATTTTTCTTTTTAAATGTTATCTCAGTCCTTGCTATCCATCAGTCACGTCAAGTTATCCGCCCAAGGTGAAGGCATGTCACTTGTGGACAAAGCGTGTCACTATCCAGTGGATCTGTAAGGTAGAAAAGTATTAACTCAACTGGGATAAGGCTAGATTAGTGGCAATCAAGTTTGCAGTATAAAGCATAAGCACCGATCACTTACCAAGTTACTTTTAGGTGTGGAGCAGTAAAATCCTTCGACGGCGATGACGGCCAAGTTAGAGGACACAATTACAAATATACTCAATGAGTGCTTTCCC